TTCCTGCTGTGGAAAATGTTAATTTTTATTGCCTTATAAAACAATAGTCCCTTTGAAGATTACAGCCTCTTTCACAATGGAGAACATAGACAATGGGATTTGCTATTTAATTTTTTTTTAATTGAGTACTGTAAAAATAACTCAAAAGATAAATAAATGTTACTGCGATGATCTATGTCCAGACATTAAGCATTTTCTCTCTCTGCATTGTTTTATTCACAATGGCCTTCAAATTACAGGAGACGGTGATCCCAGTTCATTTCCTCTATTTTCAGCCCACGTTGCTCGATTTCTGAATCAGCATTCACCCTGTCCTCCCCTCAGACCATCCTCTCCTTCTGCATAAATCCAAGTCCAGTCATTGTTCACATAGAGCGGATTTTTCTCTTCTCTGTGAAGAGGACACGTTGTTTTGCTATAGGGAAGAAAAGAATCTGTTAAGAAGCCTGAAGTGCTAAGATGCAACTCAACAAGCCTACATCCCTTTCTCCTGGCTGCCTCCGTGATTTCAATGAGTGTGGAGCAACTGACTGGCACAGCGCTGCTATTAACCAACTCTTGAAGGAGATTAGCAGTGCTTTCACTTTTACCACATGTAATTTTTAGTTCCAAAGAGGTCCATCTTACCTCTGTGAAAATAACTATCAGGATCTGAGTGGCTGAAAACATTCAGCAGCTGCTCTGTGTGACTATTCTGCGTTAACAGCTGCTCAACATAGAGACAAAAATAGGTTCTTACTGCTTTCTACTATGCTCCAACTTCAGAGCCCAAGCAAGTACAGACGATGTGCTGGATCTAGTCAGTCTCCGACTGACTGAAAATTTAAACAAGCGTCCTGTGGATTTCAATGTGGCACAAACTGACCCTGCCTTCAATGCCTGATGCAGGTGTTAGCAAAGTCAGTTCAGCTACAGATTAAGGACAGTCAATGCATAACTAAAAAAAATATTAAAAAACAAATCCAAGCAAGCTTTACAATATTTGAAAAGCACCGCTGTCTGGATTCAACTTTGTTACATGAATTCCTTTGAAAGCTACGCAAGAGCAATCCACACAATAACAAAATCTCTTCTTCCACAAGAAAGTTTCACTTTAAGAAATACTGCAACTTCTTAACACATTCTGTTGCTGCAGTTAGGAGGTAGTGAAACTTGGGCACTACCACCACGACTTCACTAAAAAGCTTCATTCTGTGGAGGTCCCAGGTTTCTGAGAAGTACAAAACATAAGGTGAAAATGTATGCCAAGTGAAAATGCTTCCCAACATATTCCTGATGTGAGTTGGTATCTAGACTCAAATTTACTTCCCTTCACACATGCAGCACTTTCTCACATCAGTTTCTCACTTGTGTTCTACTACAGGCTACAAAGATCAGAGATTTTTCTTAATTACTTCCAATTTCGTACTTTGACAACCTACTACATGTTCTGTAAAAGAAGTGCTACTTAGCCGGAGCTCTCCACTCTCTTCACATTTCCTACAAGTTGCGAAGCTTCTGGAGGATCACTTTGCACAATGTTTTCATGCAGTACTTTAAACTTTTCTTATTCCGGAAAATAATCCCAGTGATCTCCGATTGCCCTTCTGTACGGAATTCAGAAGAAGAGCCACAACCTCTGTCAGCATGAGTGCTTTGATGAGCGCACGCTGCTTCTCTGGTAGTTTCTCTCACCTGCCATAAAGCTCCCATACTGTTAGATGTGAGTACGCGAAGGTTAGTCACCTAACAGGAGTGTAACATTGTAAGTAAAAATAAGCTTGAAACACATAACCACTAGCCATGTGTTTTATTATCTACTTAAAGCTGCTTAATACATTTCTTCATTCTATAGATGTAAAGAAGCCTTTTTTGCGTTAACTCCACCATGCTACTTCAAGCATTGTCTGGTTTAAGTTCTAAGCTTCCCTAAATTAAGATTTTTAACATTAAATTAAGCTTTTTAAGGTTAACTACAAACTAGTTCCTCCCCTAGTAACTTGAGCTCTTAGTCACCTTTCAGAAAGCTTTGTGAGCAAAAGATAGCTTGTTAAGTACTATAACCCCCCAAGAGATCAGACTCTTAAACTGAGAAAATTTGCAAGGACCAGAAGAACATAGAAGAATCCAGAAGAATCTCTGGATGACAAATGGTCATCCAGAGAGCGGTATCATTTGTGGAGGAGGAAGAACTTATATTTCTTTTTTCAAAAGAGTCCGTTTTGTACGCAATGGTTAAAACTTATTCTCTAGAGCACCCACGGCAGCTTAACAGAACATTTCTATTGATGCATTCTTCGTGGCTGCTGGAGGTAGCACAGTCTAGCAAACCACACAAAGAAACAGAATGAAAGAGCTCCTGTGTCACTCTGCTTTGCCACCAACATGTGGCATGGCTGTCACCAAAGACTGATGTGTCGGGCAAGTCATTACTTTGTTTCACTGCCACAATCTGTAAAATGAGGGTAACAATTACATCCCACTAGAATGTCATGAAGAACAGCAACTGTATAGTCATCTGAGTATGAAACGTGGTGACATATTCTGCTTAGATGAGTTATATTCAAATCTTTTGCCCCACACAGTCAGAGAAGCTTATACAAAGCATGCTGACTTCTTCCCCAAGCTCTTACCGATAGGATCGTATCTCAGCAGGACCAGTTTTTCCTGCAGTCGGAGTCTCCTGACGTTGAAACAGTAGCCTGTCTCGGCCGCACTTTTCATCCTCACCAGAACGTATCTAAAGGCACAAGGAATGTCTCGGTGTCAGTGCACAGGCACGTACCAACGGCCCACCACACGTCTGCCAGGGCATGAAACTGGCAAGCTTTTTGCACAAACAATTTGGCATGATCACATAAAATGCTCCACTGCAACTTGATGGATGTTCTAAATGGGAGCTTCAATACTATATGCTAAACTCACGGACAAAGAGTCCACTATAAACCATAAGCTTCAGCATCAAGTTTAAATAAATAACTCCTGAACAGAATTCAAGCCCAGAGAGAAGTAGCTCTTCCACAGAACAGTGAGAGGGGAGGAAGAAAAACAGGAAAGAGAGAAAGAAAGAAAGGAAGGAAGGAAGGAAAGAAAAGAATATAAATCAGCATACAACTGAGTCACTATGGCTTAAAAGATAATGGCAAGAGAGGAAGGATGATGGTAGTTAAAGATGTTCGGGCTGTAGATAACGCTGCATCACAGACTATCACTTCCACATGCAGAGGGGAACCTGAGCAGATAGGATGGAATGAGAGGCATGCAAAAGGAGAAGCAGGGCCCCTCGGCACTGTCTATCCTGCTAGAGTTACAGGGCTTGGCGTTAACCCAGCCACGGGAACCCCCTTCTCCACTGGAGAGCTCTTGGCAGATTGGCAGCAGGTGCCGCATCCCTGGGAGCAGGGACAAATGTGCCCCACTGGAAGTACACCGAGATCCACACAGCTTCCCAGATGCAAGGGATCTTCTGAAGTTTCAAATGAAAGGTCAAATCCTTCAACCAGTCTGTACATTACATCTTTCTCTTCCACTGCAATAAAGAGATGGATATATCTCTGCATGTGGGCATTCAATTTACTTTCATGGGTCTTCCTGCTTAATACAAAATGGCCTTTCAAAATTAACCTCAAAGAGCCATCCATTCTTCCTTACTTGTGCAGCTCGGACCAATGCACTTCCCTGAGCTCTCTGTTGTCAGCTTTGCAATCTAATTTACTGTTGAGTTCAAAATCAACAGCAAAACACCGCATTTCTGCAGACCAGCTGACCAAGCATAGTGTAGGGATTATCCCCAATTATTGTTCTCTCCTATATACTACTGCAGGTGTGATGTGTAGCATCAGCAACCATACAGACTCGTTCCCCTATACCTCACCCACTTCCTCAAAGCCTCTGTACAGTTTCCCCTTTCTGCGGGAATCAGTGGTATCAGTATGACCAGGCCCTGAAATTCTTCTGCACCACATATCTGAGGCCAAGCCCTTTCTGAATAATACACCTTGTTCAAAAAACTTCCTGCCCAGTGAAGAAATGTAACTAGGAGAAGAGACAGAAAAGAACAGTGGAGAGCTACTGGGACACAGGAATATAACCCATGAGGAGCACAGAAGGATAAATAATATAAAGA